CATGGAGTGCATTGGCCTACAATTTTTGCCCTGGGTGGTTACTCCAAATGAACATATTAACAGTGTTCAACTGTGTAAATTGTTCCTTATTCTTGTATAAAAAATAGAATCTGTTCTCAGTAATTACTTATTGACAGCTTTTTTCTGTTAGTAACTATAACTTTAATAGAATGACATTCTCACTAGCAGAAATCACTAGTAAGGTTTTCTTAATCAACTTTATTAGAGCCTTTTTAAAATTAGGTGCTGAAAGTATTTCCACAGTTTTCATGAGAAATCTGCAGCAAGTCAAGTAAGTGTCAAAAGTTAATTTTGCATTCTCATCCAGGAGCTGGATTAATTTCATTGCACTTTTTATTTGCCCCAAAATGTTATTTTGAATGGGAATAAGCTAATTTGGAACAAATAGCTAAACATCATTCATTTCTAGATTTTATTGCAATGCACAAATTCAGATAATGGTTCATTTAAAAGACAAACAGCTGTTGTTTTTGCACAGTCATCTTTTTTTCCTGCCAAATAGTGATTTAAATGCTTCTGATTACATCTCATCAGCCACTTGTCATTACCATTCTTCATCACTCACCCATTTTTTTAAGCTAAAGAAATTCAGTTATAAACTTGTTCTATAACCTTATTCTAATTATTTGCCTTTGAAAACAAAGGTTACAATCCCATGAGCTCACCTCCTCTGTATCGCACTAAAGGTTTTTGGAAGCCAGTTCACAGGCCCTTCAAATATCTTTCAGCAGAGAAAAAATATTTTTATCTCCTGTCACTTTGAGGTGTTCAGGTTAGTACAAAAATGACAGGCAAAATCAATTTTAACTTGAAAGTTTTCTTTGACTATTTTAGTTGAGGAAAACATTCATTTTCAAAACAGCTGTTTCAGAAGGAAATTTGCAATCCTCTCTTGATCTAATCTATTTGCCACTGCGCCTGGAGGTACTGTAGCAATTTAAAAAGTTACGGGGTGAAAAAGTCTTAGGATGTGATAAATTCACGATGGTCTCTAAGGCTTTTGTAAGTAAAATAGCTTTGCATGATAGAAAGTACAGGGTGGATTCTTTGGTACCAAGATAGTTAAAAGATTACTCTTTTAAACTTGTAATCTCCTCGCTTTTAAAAGAAAACATTGAATTTCATCAACTTCTGAGCTTTCAAACTGAGAAGCAATTCAAAGCGAAGAAAAACATGAGGTTGCTTAGCTGATGGTATTTGAGAATCATTTTGGACTCCTGACAGCGTGCCTTCATCTGGTTGTAATTTTGGAAAATACAGCAATATTTACTTGACATTATGATATGCCCTTACTTGAACCCACAGTAATACATCTGAGACTCATGTGACGAGCAGGTACCAAGCAGTGAGTCATGATTAGCTTAATTGCACTGTCTAATCAGCCCAGTCTTGTTTTCATTACTGCATAATATTCACTTGTTTTATGACAGCTACATGTGACTGCATGAACGAGTTGTTCTTCTCGTGCACCTCTCTTTCTTGGCTTCTCAAAAACTACTTGTGAGCCATTGCCTGTTCCCAAGAGCTCATGAGGCTTTGTTGCTTCTCAAGGGGTTTTTTGTGTGTTTGTTTGCTTTGTTGAGGGTTGTTTGTTTGTTTCTGGTGTTTTTAAGAGAATGCACATAAGTAGTGAGCTTCATCAATCAGTTTATCTTGACGGAAAGCTGTGCTCTACTGGGAATGTCTTGTTCTTTGGCTTTCCCTGATGTGTTCTCTTGGATGCTCCTTACGAGAGCTTAAAGAAGGGCTGACATGTCCTTTACACATTATTTCTGCATCCTTAGAGAAGTCAGGCTTACCTTGCACTAGACATCAAGCCAATTTCAGTTATTCCTTTCAGAAAGGAAGACATGGGCAGTGTTAAATTAGTCTCACATTTTAAAGAATAGGAAAAGAGTTTTCTGCATTCTCCAAGACAAAGATTACAGACACTGTAGAAATAAGTGCTTTGAAGCAGCAAGTCTGGACAAGCTTTTAAGGCGTACAGCATGAATTCTTGTTCTCTTATTGAAAGTTTGGGAGCAATTGAGGTGGTTGGGGGGTGGGGAGGGGGATCACAAAGTGCCCAATAGTCAGGAACAGATCCTGATTTGCAGAATCATGAACACGTGTTGGGTGTGTATAAAATACCCATATAAAACAAAAACATATAAAACAAAAGAGGCTTGTCTTTGAATATTGACACATGTATGCAGCAGTGGCCTAACATATGGGTTAAGGAAAGGAGAACAAAATAATCTGTTCCTTTTTTAGATTTAGCACCAACGTGAGATGGTTAGTGACACTATTAAATAACCATTCAGCAGTAATTTTGTAGTTACTTATCAGGTGCTAGAAAGGACAGCACAAATGAAACATGAGATATGAGAAGAGTGGTTCAGTTTTTTCATATTGGAAGAACAGCAGCAGGTAGGATTCAGAGTATCACCTTTGATACTCTGTGACGTGACATGATAGGTCATTTTCCTGACATGATGAACTCCAGAGTCAGAACAGTCTGCATTCACAAAACAGGAAGTGTAGATTTATTTTTTTGTTTCTGTTAATGCAGCTCTTTTTTCTTTTTCTCCTACATAGGAAACACTATTTTATGTTCCTTAATCCTGTAGAGAAACATTTGAATATTGTCTAGCATTTTACAGTGGGTTTTACTTCTTTATCTCCTCCCTTCCTTTGTCAACTTGAACAAATAATTCCCAAAGTTTCCCACTCATAAATCCCCTATGATCTGTATGGTCCAAACTTCTCTCTCCTTTTTTTTGCATAAACAAAACGTTGTTAACAAGTCAGCAGACAAAGACCTGCGCTTTCAGGGATTTCAGTCTGATAAATCTCTGGTGTATGGTGTACAAGGCATAACAAAATACAGAGACTTTGAGGTTGGTTTTTTTGTTTGTTTCATTTCTGCTTGGTTCTTGCATATTGGTGTTTCTTACCAGGTACCTCAGTTGCTCAGATTGTGAGAGATTACTGCCTTGATTGTCTGTGATTTCTGTGACTTCAGGCATTAAGGACCACATGTGTTTCTGTGATGCTCTGTTTGTTTATTTATATCATCAGCCTGCTTAAGACTTTTTCCAATTATTATTAAGTGGAATAAATTAAAACCAAAAACACTGTTAGTATGAGCACAGAGCAGCAGAGAACAACACACAAGCAGATTCAGCCTGAGATTAAAATGTAGCTTTATCATCAGTACCTCTCTATCCCTGTTGTACCTATAGAGACCTAAAGCAAAAGTGCACTTGAGTCTTTACGTCACTTACAGAGTGGTGCATAGAAGTCAATCAAGTTTTTGAAATCAGAAAATCATACAGTGGTTGTTAGCTGGAATATACAGCTGGACACCTCTGATAGCAAAGAGGGATTCTGTGCCTATGGGAACAAACAAAATATTGATCCCAGAATTTCTTCCTCCTGCTACTCCTACATTTCTGTTTATGAAGGTTGTAAATGTTATCAAGGGTTGAACAGGTGAAAGTTCTCAAAGAGCTACGAATTTGAAGTAATTCACTTACAGGTGATTCCCTTAGTTTAGGAGAAAACAAGGACAAGAATAGTGCTGTATAAAAACATTCCCATTCTTAACCATATAAAGCTTCATAGAAGAATCATGTTTTGTCTTATGACTGTGACCTTGAAAAAAAATTTGCATGTGCAGATACTGTAGGGTCATTTACAAGACAAGTATCCCTTTACATATAGTAAAGATATAGATAGCCTTTCAAGTGCCCCACGAAGCAATGAAAATTAAATTAGAACTTTCATCCTTTCACTACAGCATCCACCAAATCAAAGGTTACCTATAAAGATTATCTGGCATATTTTGAAAGTACTTCAAAAATGAAATTAGCAGTCCTTTGCAGAATGCCACTGCATGAAGCCTTGGGTGTGGGAAGAGCCCCAGGTAGCATTGTGAGCTGGTGACACTTCCCTCTCTTTTTGTTACGTGGGAAACAGAATCAATTGCGTTCCAGTGCAACTCTGTCATCTGCTAATGGAAAGAAGTTGGTATTGAAAGGAAATTTGAGCTAGCACTCTGTAAAAGTGCTACACTACAAAAGCTCTCCGTAGATCAGTTGCACTTGTCCTGTAAAACTGTTGACAGTGGCAGAATTTGTCCCTGAGGAGTCTGGTAAGGCATTGTGCATCTGTAAATGTGGGGAGCTGAAGCTGCTGTCAAATTGAGAGCACAGGACTGGTAGAATCCAATTGCTAACTCCTCCAGCTGCCATGGCTGAACCTCATCAGCATTTTGCTTCATTTCTTCCATGAGTTCCCTGGGTTCTTTGAGTAGATTTCCTATAAGCTGTGGACTTAAATGCACAGATCCTGTTTTCCATAAACTTCAATAAATTCTGAACCATGCCTCCAAAGATTTTGAACAGGATTTGTGGCTGTGCCTCTGTGCCTTAGTCATTCTTTGGCAAAGCTGTGTCACAGACTTGAGCTTACTCTCATTGTTCTTTGATCCTTGAGCAGTTGATGTCCAGTAATTGCTTTAAAATTAGAACACGTTTAGAAGTATGTCATGCTGACTTTGTATAAAAAGGATTTATCCACCTGGGTCTCAAATTGCAGTGCAAATTAATATAGTCCATATCTATATAGCTTATCTGGATTATTGCTGTAGTAAATTAATTTTTAGCGCAAAGCAAAATTATCCTTTTAAATATTGGCCTTAGGTCATTTCTCTTGTTTGATTAGCATTTGCATTTGTTACTAGGATGCATGGGAAGGAATTACCTGGTCTCTTTATATCAAAGCAAATTTTAATTATCTCACTATATAAAAGGTCTTTTTTTGCCAGGAGTGTTTAATATTCTCTTGTAATTGCACGTCCCGTGAACTGGCATGTGTTTATGACTTGATATTCACACTCAAATGAAAATGAATATTTATAAAAACATAGTCTCAGTGATCTGCATACTTCTAAGAGCATATCTTAAAGTAAGCATATTTCTTCTGTCTCTATTTAGTCGTTCGTGACACTTTGGAAGATGCTGTTTCCAGAGGCAGTGCCGCCTGCCCCTTGGGCTACTTTCCCTGTGGCAATATCACAAAGTGCTTGCCCCAACAACTTCACTGTAATGGTGAGGATGACTGTGGGAATCATGCTGATGAAGACAACTGTGGTATGTTGTTAAGGCTTTTCTTTGTTTCTGGCAGTCACTGAAACCCATGCGCTGTTTGCACCAAGTGGAGAGTTACAGAGCAGAAGCCGTTTGAATGTTGTGTGTTTTCAGAGGATGTAGCAGATAGTGGCTTTCCCTGATAAAGCCTCTCAACAAGCCATTTGCTAGGAAGAAAAGACTACATTTGCATATCGTAGAAGTTTATCCAGTTTTATCATTTTTGCTTTTCATTTTGATGTGTACCTGTGTGTGTGAACTGGGAAAGGCCCCTGCTGCAGACAGATGGACCTACATGCTGACCTACGATGCTTGACGTAACTGTTAAAGCTGGTTGGGAAGCAGAATTTAAACTAATTTTCAAAGTTGGCCAGAAATCTTTCACGTCCTAAAACAGGAGAAAAAAAAACCAGAGCCATGCTTGTATGAGTTCTGCAAGCTGCAAGGCTGCCAGATTTTGGAAATGTAGCTATCTGAGGAAATGCACATAGGCTGCTGCTGCCTGTTGTTGCAGACCTTGTCACTCTGCCTCCATCTCCATGGTGTGAAGATGCCAGCCAGGCACGCTGCCATCAGAATGGAGCATGGAGGCAAAAAATGAAAACTATATATAAACACTAATGTTTCTGAAAGGTATAATTTGAAACAAAATATGGTAAATATATTTTTCATTAACAATCTCAGCAAAATCATTGAGAGATTGAAACCATGTTTGCTTTCACTCCATATTTTCAGAGCTCAAAATTGTGCCTGCATGCAATACCTTATTTCTCTGCCTATGAAATTCTACCATATGAAAATTACTTTTGGCTCTAATCCCATTTAACAGACCTGTGCTGCCTTGTAGATTGATGTCACTTCCACCATTTCGTTGCCAATGATTTAAATCTTGAAGAAAATTGACTCTTGTTCTATTGTTCTTCTGTGTATAAGTTGCCTCTTAAACAGTTGATGCATGTTCCATTTCTGTAAAGTACCAGAAAGTCTATTGTGCATGGACTTGCTGAAAGTGTACAGATTGATGAAGTGGGGATTTGGACACACACAGTTTTGCAACAGGATATGCAGGACAACAGAGCCTGCAAAGCAATTCGGCTGCAGTATAGAATCCATTTCCAAGTACAACAATGAGCTAGAGACCATTTCTGAGCTATAAAAGATGATAAGTCTTTGTATCAGCTCTATGAGAAATTAGTGTTTTCTTCTTGCATCATAACCTGATATTCTCAAAATGCATACCTTGTATAATGCACTGTGCTCATATTCAGCTCTAAAACTGATACAGCAGTCAAATTTCATTGTTTCTCTAAAAGAAGAGTAATTATGTTGCCTGAGAACTTGAAATGTTCTCTTGGGGTTTCTGTAACATTCCTACATTGAAGTATGTGTGGAAATCATTGTTGAGTAGGATTTTGTCCAACCATTCATCTTGCTTAAAATCAAAGGAAGTGTCACCAATTAGTTCCCAAGACAGGGATTCTATCCAGCTATTTCTTTATGCTGCAGTTTCCCAGGGCTATTTCAGTGTGCCTGCCATTACACCAGGAGTTATAGCTAGTTCTTTATACCCTTTTTTTTAATGTACAGTTGAAATCATTGCTCCTGGTTACAGAAAAGCAATTCAAAATTAAATTACTTCACTGAAGTAATTGGTTTTTTTTGTGCAGCACCATAGGAACTTTTATCCACAAGGTTCCCCAATTAAGTAACTCAACTTTTAAATTCTTGCATGCTTGTATCTTGCATAAATTTGAGTAAGACTTTTGAGATGGTCAGTCTACCACATTCAAGCCAGCACATGTGGTGAGGATGGGAAAAAATAGTGTGGGCCCTAAAAGGAATTCAGACATGCAAGATAAACGCTTCTCAGGTACAGCTAGCTAGAACAACTGCTCCGCCAATTATGTCTTCAGTAATGACAAAGCCCTATCTTAAGCCTAGAGAAAAATATTATAGCAGAGGTTTGCATTTATTTTAAACCAGTCTGATAAAGAAAGGAGATGCAAAGCAAAAATAATTTCTCACAGAGAGTAGTCCTTTCTTTGGTGGAAAGGATGATATCAATGAAGATTAAAAGAAAAAAAAAAAGCACTTCTTTTGAAGAGCATAATAATGCCATTGCAAAAATTGGGTGAAATTGCTTGGAAAAAAAGAGATACTCTGAACATAAGACAACCCAAGGTCCAGCTGTTCAACAGTAACTGCTAGATGTGCAGAGCATTAATAGAAACTGATTACCAAAATAGCACTTTTAAGAAATATCAATGAATTAAACAAGCAGAGAAGTAATTAGCATAAAAGCACTCTTAGATATTCAGAGAGAGTTGCTTTGTAAAAACCTTTAAGTGACCTTACAATAGAAAGGCATAGGTTTTTCTTCTATGGTTGTCAATTACAGCGAGATATAGAAGCCATCTGGGTATTCTGGTCTTGCAAATTACTCAAGTTGGAATCTTGAAATTCCACATGCAGTATGGTTAATCAGTAGCACAGCTTAAAATCTGTCTGCCTAATTTATTATGTGATGTACAAACCCATATTTAGATCTCACATGGCTTTATGGTAGGTTGGAAATAAAAGGTGAAAGAACATCTCCTCTCCATGCATTGGTGCAAGAGAGACCAACGTAACAGGAGTCTGAAAATACTGGCATTAGTCGGTCTGAAGAAGGCTGGTGTCTGCTCTCTGTTATTAATGGTCCCCATTACCATATACTGCAAGTTTACCAGGCTACTGAGAACGTGTGTCCCAGCCCCTTGGCCTCTTGGATGTTCCTATAGACCCAGACATCTTTGCTCTGTGCCCCCACTGTATGCATACCACAGACATTTTGTAGATGTAGATCAGAAACCATCAGAGATTTCACTAAATATTCCAGGTACCTCTTGGCAATTCTGCCCCTTTCCTCTCATCTTGAGCAGAGTTCTGTAGTTTCCCTCTTTATTCATACAGTGATACTTACATCATTATGTTTGAGAAGATTTGCAGTATTTTTTCTCTTTCACACACTGCATGCCCTGCAGCAGTAAAATATGATTACAGATATTTGAAATTAAAAGGATTCTTCACTCACTGGTAGCTGTCTTCAGTTGTTCAGTAATAGCACTTTCTGTTAAATCCATGCATGTAACAGTTAGCTTTGTGGAGCCTCCTTCACACATTTTTTCTTTCCTTTCCACTGAGATCTCTATCAGAATAATAAGTTAAAAACTAAGAGATGCAGCCTGAAATTAGAATAATAGACAGGGTCACATTTAGATCTGAGATGGCCATGGCTGTTCTTAACCTCAGGGTGAGGATGTTATGTTTTGCAGTTAAGCTTCAGCATTTCTTCCTCTTCACAACCCTTCTGGAGAGGGGATATCCAGAATGAAGCTGCTCATCTTTGAAAATCCATGTGCCTTTTTCACCCAGTTGAGTTCTCAATCAATAAAGTAGTATGTGTGTTATCCTGATGGGGAAGAGCTTGAGGCAGCTATAAGAGAAGGAGAGCAGCAATTTATCAAGCCCTAAGTGATAACAGGTTCTTTTCAAACTAATATTAGATAACCTTAAATGTGCATGGAAAATACAATCTTTCCTTATGAATGTGAAAACATAGTCCATCAAGTAGCAGGTGGCTCTGTACATTTTCCATAAATACAATATTTTTAAACAAAAATGAGTTATGTGAAGTTTTATCATTTGTCATAAACGCTTGTGGCTTTGAGGAATTTTCCTTTTTAAGGCTAAGTGTGGCAGTAAATTTTTCCCTGCTCTTCTGCCCTGTACTCATTCTTTCTGAAATACTGAGTTCTTCCCAAAGCAACCAAGTATGATGTTTAGCAGTTTAGCCTAAATCGTGACCTGGTAATCTCAGCTGGGGAGCACACGAACCCCCCTGTGACTCTGGAGGAAACAGTCAGAGACCTACTGCTCCAACTGGACTGCCACAAGTCGATGGGGCCAGATGAGATCCACCCGAGAGTGCTGAGGGAACTGGCGGAGGTGAGAGCCGAGCCGCTTTCCATCATCTGTCAACGCTCCTTGTTGACTGGTGAGGTCCCAGATGACTGGAGGCTTGCCAATGTGACTCCCATTTACAAGAAAGGTCGTAAGGAGGATCCGGGGAACTACAGGCCTGTTAGCCTGACCTCGGTGCCAGGGAAGGTGATGGAGCAGATTGTCTTGAGGGAGATCATGCGGCATCACCGGGGGATCAGGCCTAGCCAGCATGGGTTCATGAAGGGCAGGTCCTGTTTGACCAACCTGATCTCCTTCTATGATCTAGTGACCCATCTGGTGGATGAGGGAAAGGCTGTTGATGTGGTCTACCTAGACTTCAGCAAAGCCTTTGACACTGTCTCCCACAGCATTCTCCTGCAGAAGCTGGCAGCCAGAGGCTTGGATGGATACACTCTTGGCTGGGTGAGGAGCTGGTTGGAGGGCCGGGCACAGAGAGTGGTGGTAAATGGAGTCAAATCCAGCTGGCGACTGGTTGTGAGTGGTGTTCCCCAGGGGTCGGTGCTGGGGCCTGTCCTCTTCAATATCTTTATTGATGACCTCGATGAGGGCATCGAGTGCACCCTCAGTAAATTCGCAGATGACACCAAATTGGCTGGAAGTGTGGATCTGCCTGGGGGTAGCGAGGCCCTACAGAGGGATCTGGACAGGCTGGAGAGCTGGGCTGAAGCCAATGGGATGAGTTTCAACAAGGCCAAATGCCGGGTCCTGCACTTCGGCCACAACAACCCCAGGCGACGCTACAGGCTTGGGGCGGTGTGGCTGGAGGACTGCATAGAGGAAATGGACCTGGGGGTATTGATTGATGCTCGGCTGAATATGAGCCGACAGTGTGCCCAGGTGGCCAAGAAGGCCAATGGCATCCTGGCTTGCATCAGAAACAGTGTTGGCAGCAGGAGCAGAGAGGTGATTGTTCCCCTGTATTCAGCACTGGTGAGGCCGCACCTCGAGTGTTGTGTCCAGTTTTGGGCCCCTCACTGCAAGAAAGATATTGAGGCCCT